CATACCATCCCTGAGAGTCATGCCGATCTCATTACCTGCATTATGGTGAAAAAATTACACACCTGGGGCAAGTGAAGCAGCAATGTCATTATTTCCAGTGTCTTCTCATGCAAGAAATGGTTGACAGCTCAAAAGGAGCCACCTACAGACTTGAGGAAACAGCCGCCCTCATTGCCATTGATGGTGAGGTGTCTAGGGCTGTGTGATTGTGCATGAGTTCAGTTCTGCTCTTAAAGGGAGCCTCATAGTTACAGAATGTTAGTCTATCAAACATGTAAAAAATTGGTGAAGTTTTGCCGCGGTCCGAAGGGGGGATGGCACCGTGGCACAGCACGGTCCGGGACACAAGGGAGGGTGCAAGTGGAATCCTTTATTCATGCATGCATGTGGTCTTTTATCAGCTTGGGAGGGGAAAGGGCCAGAACATAGGGCGGAGCATGAGACAGACAAGTGGGGCAACAAACCAGGACAGGGACATGGGCAAAAGGGGGAGGAGTGGGGGAAGCAGGGAGCAGACAACCTCATGGCAAGCCTGGGCATGTCCAGGGTGTGCACTGCGTAGTGTGAATACAATGAAACCACATAATAACAGTAAAGTCCATATAATAACTGTAAGGTCCATATAATAAAATCCTGTCAATTGCTGTATGTTTTTCTCCACGTCTGGAACTGTTCCCATCACAAAGTTTCACTTGGCAAAGTGCCCCAGTCGGGGGTGACTTGTCTGGGGGAGCAACCTCCACCATAGCTTTGCCTGTCATAGATTTTGTGACCAGGACACATCAGGGGCAGAAGACTCCAAAGTAAGACGCAGCAGCACAGCACTCCACACCAGCTCTCCTTCCTTGCTCAGGTACAGCCACCCCCATTTCAGATACATCCCTCCCCATGTGAACCCTGTGTACATGCTGAGTGTGGTCCCACCATAGTATGTTGCTGTTCCAGGAACACTGAGGTCAATAGGGAGGGGAAGAAGAAATCTGGCTGGTGCACAGGACTTTCAAGGCCTGATAAGGAGGGAAAAGGTGACTGATACTTGACAATCTCGATCACAGAGGATGGCTCTTGGTTCTATAAAAATGTGTTAGTTATGCCAACCACACTACAGGGGGTGCTGGTCACAAAATTTTATGCTACTTTTGAAAAAAGGTTTGGAAAGAATTAAGCCCCACATCAGAAGTACCTCTCACATTGCAAAATGTGACCACATATCTGACCACGTTGTGGTCAGACACTTTCTTCAGATCATCCTGGACAAGTCAGAAATGCTGACAGGGCAGGAGGACTGTGTCTTCATTCAAAGTCTTTTAATAGACTATAAACACATTACCTTCACAGAGGCAAGATTCCCCCCTCCAACAGCCCTTTGAAAGAGAAATGAAGGATAGCATAGGACAGCAGCCTGGTCAGGACAGGATGAACAACAACAATCTGTACTAAGAAGTGCAAAAGAAATGGAAAACACAGAAAAAAGGTGACCTGTTCCATTCATCACCCCAGGTAGTATTTTCCCTATATTGTAAACTGAAACTATAGTCAAGGAGTAGGAAAAGTGGGGAAGAAGGGATAATTCTCACACTGGTGGCAACCGTTTTCCATGAGAACCCACCATAACAATGTTATTAGGTTTTACAGACACAAGGCCATGCCCACAGCAGCACTAGAGCGACAGCACGAGGGTGACAGCATGAAAGTGGCAGCATGAGGAATGCAAGGGGAAGTGTTACCTGAGCAGCTGAGCAAAGGGTTACGCAGTTCTGAATGTCAAAAGGCCACCAACTTGCAGATAGAAGTCATAGCAATACAACTTGTTCAGGTGTTGGCAGCCTGTGGTGGAACACCTACAGGCTGTGTCACAGGTTTTTTTCTCCAAAGGCACACCTGGGCATGAGGAAGATCACACTGAACAGTATTGATGATCAGAGATTAGGCAATGCTCAGCTGTGATGGCCCAGAGTGGGAGGACTGAACAGTTGGGACCCCTCCACCGTGACCACATTTTTGAAGACAATTTTGTTGAGTAGTGTGGATGTTGAAATTAAGCTAACACAGAGCAGAGGCAGCTTTTGCTGGGTGAGCTCCCTGGCAGCAGCTGCTTGTAAGCACTTTGTTATCTGTAAAGAAGTTGCAGATGGTACCTGGAACACTACAGTGCTTGTCAGTATTCAGATTATACCTCAACTACACTTTTTGTGACCCAAAATTAATTGCATTCTGCTTCTTTTTTTTTTTTTTTAAATGAAGGTACTCCATCACTCCTTTGTTTCAGCTGCTACAGATTTTCATTTGTACAAATGAAATCATCGGGAAAAAGTCTACTGCTCTTTGGTTAAAAGATTCAAGCACAAAAGTTTCAGCTGACATAGCAAAATTATCAGGTATAAGAATATATTTATTTTTGGTTTGAGTAAGAGCAAGAACTCAGCTTTCTCTTCAGCTTTAAAACCTATGCCTTCTGTTCAATACACACAGTTTCTGTATATTAACATTTTCCTATTTTTTCTGTCTATATAAATTACTCTAGTAAAAAATAAACTACCTTCTCTTAGTTGTCTGGAACTGTTGAGTTTTTCGACCAACACCCAACTAACAAATTGCCCGGGAATTGTGTTTGGGTTGCATTTATAAAACACATACGGTCTTTAGTTGCCAACTCTAAAAGCTTGGGGGAAATGGACATAAATCCAAAATTTCTCAAAATTATCTCAAAGTAAGGTAGGAATTAGGAAGACTATAAAGCTTTCTTGAAGCTACTGTTGCCCACTCTTTTTTTGGTGAAACTGAGCCTGCCCACACCAGAAGATCTGGATCATGGGATTCTATCCAGGAAACACATTTATAAAAGCTTTAATGATAACTACTGTCAGAGTTCTGAAATATTTGTAATGAATCATTCAGTGCTACATATTGGCCTCCTCTTCTCTCACTGAGTCATAATTTTCAGTAGGAGTAAGCATGGAGAAAAATTAAATTTTATGAGCTCCTTTCTCCTTTCTCTGATGACTGGTCTACTGAACATGAGAACTAATTAAAGGGCTGCTAACAGGAACTGAATTTGGCTATAAGAAAAGGGTAACTATCATCAGCTCCAGTGGTAATTGCAATAATGAGAACAGAGAGGAAAGGCCCTCAGTGCCAAATACAATATAAGGATAAATCTCAAGTGTCAGGGTTCAAAATTACAGATGAGAAAACATCTGCTCAGTTGCTAACTGAACTTGAAAACATTTGAAATTCACTAGTCATTTCCCAGAGACACTTGTAAGTTCTATATATGCTACAACTGAAGTTCTGCATGTGCTAAAATATATCTTTCCTGAACTGGGATGTTGAAACTGGACATAACAGAAGTGAAGTCCCAAGCTATGCCCAGGTTTCCCTTGGACAGAGATGTCAGTGCCCATCTCTCTCTTATGAAGCTGTGGCTTGCAAACTCATTTGGTCTGTTGAGGGTTCACTTTGTCCATAAAAGTAGCTACATATAGATTACCCTGTGTAATCTTTAAAGCAACCAGGAGGGCCAACCATGTCCTGGGGGGCATCAGGCAAAGCATCGCTAGCTGGTTGAGGGATGGGATTGTCCTGCTCTGCTCTTCACTGGTGTGGCCTCACCTTGAATATTGTGTGCAGTTTTGGACACCATAATATAAGAAAGATATTAAGCTATAAGAGACAATCTAAAAGAGGTCAATGAAGATGGTGAAAGGCCTTGAGGGGAAGCTGTATGAGGAATGGCTGAGGTCACTTGATCTGTTCAGCCTGGAGAAGAGGAAACTGAGGGGAGGCCTTCTTGTAGTCCTCAGCATCCTCACAAGGAGAAGCAGAGGGTCAGGTACTGATCTCTTCACTCCCATGACCAGTGACAGGACCCAAGGGAATGGCACGAAGCTGAGTCAGGGGAGGTTAGGTTAAATTACAGGAAAAGGTTTTTCACCCAGAGGGTGGTTGGGCACTGGAACAGGCTCCCCAGGGAAGTGGTCACATCACTAAATCTGAGTTCAAAAAGCATTTGGACAACACTGTTAGGCACATAGTGTGATTCTTGGGGTGTCCTGTGCAAGGCCAGGAGTTGAACTCGACGATCTTGATGGGTCACTTCCAACTCAGCATATTCTATGAGTCTATGATTCTACCAGACAATAATGCCAAATTCATGGAGACAAGAGGACAACAAGTAAGAATAGCACTGAATCTGCGGATCTCTAAGATAATTTTATTTCTGCTTTAGCAGAGATCAGAATTGAGAAATCCCACTAATGGGCAAATGATCCTGGGAGGAAGTTGCAGGCCTTCAGCCTTGCTTGTTTCAGACTCACTGAATCAATGCTCTAACTACAGCTACGGAAGAGGTGTGCAGCAGCAGTGCTGGAATTTTCAGTAAACCCTCTGGGAAAAAAAATGGGGAAAAAAATGCATTGCTCTTCTGCAACCAGTCAGGTGCCTTATTCTATTCATGGAGAAAGATAAGTTGTTCATTCTATCATTAACTTCAGTTTCCTGGTCAATGTGCTTTATTTGGGGCTATTTTGTGAAGTGTCTAATTGCCGTCATGCAATGCACAGTAATTACACGTATGCAAGTTTGGCAGTTTATATTCCTAGGGAGGTTTATTGCATCTAAATCCAAACTCCTATAGCCATAGTCTCATTTTGTTGCCTTTTTGTAACCTTCAGAGTACGGAATGCATCATTTAGTAACGTTAAAGATCTGAGTATACAGCATCCCTGTATTATCTTCAAAATGTTTGTGTACTCTCAGGCAAACAAGAAGGGGAAATAAAACACATTGTAAAATGTCCAACTGCTTCCAAAATAGCATCCTGTAAGAGCTGGTAAAAAAAAAGGAGAACAAAAAGATACCAGTAAATTCTCTGCGGTGACTCACAACTGGGAAAGTTTTTAGAAATTCTTCAGATCCTGCTTTTCTTTTATCATGTTCAAGTAAAATATTTTCAATAAAATGATTGCACTGAATCCAAAAAATGAAAATCTGCACTATACCTTTTCCACACAGCCCTGGAGCCTTGATTAAGGACAGTCTCTGATACATCAGCATAGTTTAGATCCATGGATGGGAGCTAAGGAAATGGCTGTGTTGAGATGTTGAGTAAACATGCGTGTTCTGTTGCTCATATTTAGGCAGTGCTGTTCCTGCTTTGGCTTGAAGGAATAAGCATGATATATATGGCAAAGTCTGAAAGATTGAACCTCAGACTTATGAAATTGTCATTCATCTGTAGTACTGTACAAGTGTTTTACAATAAACTAGAATTGTATTGAAAGACCAACTCCTGTGCAAAGTACTGATTGGGTTACATCAGCTGCATCTGTCAAAAACAGATACACACTTGGAACAGGTTGCTCAAAGGGGATGTGGAATTTCCAATTTTGAAAATATTCAAAACATAACTGGAGAAGATCCTGAGCAACTTGATCTAAGCTGACCCAACTTGGGGAGGCTAGCAGTGGAGAAATAGATGACCTCCAGACATCCCTTCCAAGAATTATTGTTTTATGAACTTCTCGACCAGCATAACAATCTGGTGGAACAAGAGAAGAATAGGCAAGAGATTTTGCACCAGTGAGAACAAAGTGATGGTTCTGAGCTCCTTCTAGGTCATTTTAAGCTATCTTAAGATAATACTCCTGGATGGTAACTAGTTTCTATCAAGGCAGCTGGGTGGGCAGGAGCAAGACCTGAGGTCTGTCTTCTCCTGCTGGTGTTGATGCATTATATCTGCAAAACTTTGAGCATCACATCAGAATGATTCCACTCATATAAGTGGTGAAACCAGACATTTGGAGGGTACATCTGAAATTCATCTTACCCCAAGCCCTGCTGTGAGCAGAAGAATTTCAGAGTTAAGTTTCATGTAACTTCAATGTGTTTTATATGAAGGAGATCCTCAAATTAAAAGGCAGAAAATCAGAAGCAGTATTAATGTCTTATCTTTAAATGTTGCAATGAAATTTAGAATGACTCCACGTATTTTGCTACTTACCCTAACACACTAAAATTGTCACAGCACCAAGCCTGCCAGAGTTCAAGAAGCATTTGGACGATACTCTCAGGCACATGGTGTGACTCTTGGGGATGGTCCTGTGCAGGGCCAGGAGCTGGACTTGATGATCCTTGAGGGTCCCTTGCAACTCAGCATATTCTGTGATTCTGCGAAAAAATACAAATAAATATTGAGTAACAGACTAGAAATCACTCTCTGTGACTAATGACATAATAGATCATATCTAAGTTATTACTGACATTTGATAGGTCTCATTTTTAGTTCAATTAATGGAATGTATCTATATCAGAAATTATCAATTCTAATGGAAATATGGGCCAACAAAGAAGCTGAAATATTTCAACTGAGTCTAAGTATTAGAGACATTATAAATTAAGAATTCTTAATATTAACTACCAAGACCTACAGATATAAGTCTAGCTAAAAATGGAATGTTGAAATAACAAAGAAACTTCTGGGATTATGAGCTATAAATCTAAGATTAATATATTATTTGAATAATTTTGTACCTGAATTAATTTCAAAAATATTGTTTCTTCTTTTGGAACAAAATCTGCATTTGGGAACAAAAAACCTCTAGTTCTGGGCAAGTTAAAACCTCTGTGAGTTCTAATGTTACTATTTAACAGCTGTTCAGTAATTTATAGAATGACATCTTCTTTGTTTACATCTAAAAATAGTACTAGTAATTCAATAGCCAGTATAACTATTTTCATTCAAAATATCAATTATGCCCTTTCTGCAAAGGAACCTTATCTGTCTTTGTACTTGAACAGTAGAAAAAGTATCTAGATGGTCTCTTTGGGTGTAGAAGTCAGGGAAAGGGTCTTTCAGATGGACTTTGGGGAGCCAAGATCCTAACAAGTACACACAGTCCTGTGCTGGGTTTCCTTCCATTAGCAAAGAAACTGATTATAGAATCACTTCTTTCATACACTCCTCTTTTTCAGTAAAGACAGTTCAAAAGCTAAACATTTCCTGAATATACTGGGAACTAACATTAGGAGTTTCCTTGTATATTATACAAAATATTCTTGATCAGTGCCACTGAAAAGAGCTCTTTCCCCACAGTTCCAGTAGCACTTGCTGATGACAAGTGCTTATGGCTGTTTGGTACTGCACTGGGACACTTTTGGGGCAGCTGGTTGAGAGCATTCTTCCTGCTGACCATGCTGATGGAAAGGATGGTTAGATTGCTCTGCACATTGCTGGGTCAGTGCAGGACACAGGAAACCATAACTAAGCAGGTTTCCAAGTATCTGGAGAATGGAAATTGTAAGTACTTTATGTACTACTGTACTTCAAGGAAATTTCTTTACTTCTGTCATTAATTTTTTACATCTTTTGCTAGTATGACTCCTGTTTTCATTTTTATGTTCTTGATGAATACCCTTTTGCCCTATAACAGATAAAGTTAGGGAACTTAATATAGCAAAAGTCTATGAAATTTCTTTAAAGCAAATTTTCATTGGTCTGGTACAATATTGGTACAGCACAAGTTTCTCTTCTGTGATTCAGAAGCTCATGTGAGTCATCCATTATTTCAAAGGCAGTCCCAAGGGCTCAGTCAAGGAAATATTTGGGCATCATTTAGTGCTGCTCCATCCTTTGAGTCCTAGATGAGACACAACCAGTAAAAAGGAACAAAGCAAATGAGTGCCCTTGGAATGAATAAAATGGCATGCATTTATGTATTTTCTTTATTATCTTGAATTTTAATGATACTACTGAGAATGAGATTCCCTCTACATTTGTAATTATAAAGGAGAGCAGATGGTGAAGGCTTAGCTTAAAGTGTTAATTAAAATAGCTTACACAGCCAAACCTCTGCTTGAATAAAGTACATCAGGAAGATATAAGACATGAGTGAGTGCCCTATTCTAGTGAATTATTCTAAAATAAAGCTATCTTGGAGCAAACACATCAGAGATACTTAACATCATGTCAGTGAAATCTCTTCCTCTCAAGTTCATGAAACAAGTACTAGATAACATGTTCTAAGTGTAAGTTTCTGGAAGTGAAGTCTAGATTCATAGGTGGATTTGTACATCTGACTGCCTTAGTAAGTATTCAAATAAAACAAATGGATCTTCCTCACCCTCTATACATTTGTTGGTAGGCACGTGCAGGATCACTTGTGTATGGGCTGTGCAAAAACTGGAGGAATGCCAACACACCTTTGGGATTCATCTTGTTAATTCATACAGGTGACTCAACACAAGAAAATTGGTTCAGAGATAGTGCCTAAGCCTCCCACCTTTATAAAAACCAGTCTGGGGGGGTTTGCTGTCAGTCTGCAATACTCCACTGTTAGAAGACCTCAGCTTGGTTAGAGAACACACAGTTTTAGATGTCTTTTTTTTCTTGATTTTGGACAGAGGTCCATAAGTCCTCAACAGCAGCACATCATACCCATCTAGATATTTTGTAATGAAATATGAAGTCGTTCAGTGGAGCAAGGATAGAAGCCAGTTGCCTATATATCCTTTGAACTGATCACTGGACTAGTCATACATAAAAACTTTTTTCTCATTTTGGTCTACATTTTATTTGAGCTGTAAAAAAAATCAAAGGCAAAGAGAGGAATAACATTTCTGCTTCTCCTTCCTCCACTGGCACTCTGAACTGCTAAACTGGTCACATTGGAAATTATGAAGATTGTGACTGGACTGCCCTCTTCAGTTCATTTTTGTACTGTAAACAGTTTTGAGCTGTGGGTTAAGAGTATGGAAAATGTATAGTAACATTGATGTGTGCCATCTTTAGTGTGACATCTCAAGGGGGAAATTCTTACCCAACCAGATACTGTAAACCTATGTATAGAGTTCCGCTTTTTAAATTATAAAAGGTGGGGAAGAACAGTATCTCTGTCAATTTTTTACATCACTTATATTTGGTAGGTCTTGGCAGTAAGACAGAAAATGTTCTTAAAATCATCTGTTATGGAAACACAATGTCAAATGCTTTGACTGCCTTTCCTTAAGAGCTCAAGCTCCCAGACCCTTTTCCTTCCTGAAAGGTTACAGAAAAGCTTGTGGTTTGTCCTTCCAGTTGCAAAATGGTTCTTATACCTTGGTTTCCGTAAAAGTAGAGTGGGGTACAGTCTGAAAATGTAACCAGTTAAATAGCTTCATAAATATAGGAGTTTACTGATCCATACGTGAAATACTCATCTCTTTGAACGTTTCTTCCCTGTTCTTTTCTCATTGTTTGCACAAAAGATTCCTGTTATTGTTGCTGAATGTCCAGTTACTGAATGTCATATGTCAAAAAGATTTCTCCTTTCTGAGCAGGGTTCTCCTGTCATCTGCCCTTTTTACTTGATGTCATTGAATGCTCATTTGTCCCGAAATGCTGAAAAATTCAGGATGATTGAAAGTTGAACTATGCTGAATGCTTCCATTTGGCCCCTGAGCACAAGACAGCCAAGGAGTCAACAAATTCAAGGACAGAATCTTCAATGACTTCTGGCATTATGGTAGATCCCAAATGCATCTTGGCCTCATGGAAGATGGAAGGTGATATGGAAGAGTTGGCTGTGGCTGGTAGTGGAAGATAAGTGGGAGAAGCACAAGAGAGGAAGCATTTTTTCTGACTAAGCACTGCAAAGCAATTTTATTGTTTGAAAACAGTCTACCTGAATTTTCTTGTGAAAAGATACTATTCAGAGTGTATGCAAGATGGAGAGTTGCATTTCCCCTCCAGACTCTTTTCTTTTGCTGCACGTACTCTGTCCAAGTGCTTTCATGTTGCTGTTATTAGTGTTCACCCTCCTGTAACAAGTTACAGTTAGGAATAGCTTATGCTGGATTTTGTCTGAACTCTAAGAATGCCTTTTAGATGCTGGAACTATTCTCAGAAAGTAGTCTAGATTTCAGATTTTGATAGGGTTTCATAATGAATGAGTAGAAATTGGAAGCCCCTTCTATTTTAAAAAATCTCTCTACCAGACTCAAAGTTTAAACAATGCATTTTTGAAATGAAGTCAACTATCCAGGAGCTGAATATTCTACCTTGAGCATTTTAGATACTGAAAGGAGGCTATTTGTCCTCTGTCAGTTCCTACTGCATCCTCTCATTCCCAAAAGACAGTCCCTACTACCTCTTTCAATTGTAAGCAGGAACTTAACTACTACAATTCTAGTAGCTTCTAAGTTTAAACAAATCTCTCCTACCTGGTATTCTGAACATTCAAGATTGCTCAGAGAAAATTAAGTATCGCAAGGAAAAAATCTGAGATAACTTGATATGAATGCATTTTGTACACTGTGTGATTTTTTTTCTCCCTGTTCTACAGAAATAAATAAGCTAACAAAAAGTCACTTCAGACCACTACTACATAGAAAAATTGATGTGTGAACCAACTGTTAAGCAAATTTTTCCTAAATTTCACTGCATGTTTCTGTTTCACTTTATAATAGGAAGTATACAGTATTTAAAATTGTTTTATAAATTACGGTTCACTGCAGAGCTTATTCAGTTGTTACTCCATGCCATTAGTTAACACTCAGTGATAGCATGGTTCATGCAGGCTTAATGTGG